TGTAGGGAACGCTTAGTTACTCTGGCCAGGGATCTGCTTAGCGCTTTGCAGGCATCATCACAATCCCGCGAGGGGGCGAGAACCCCATTCTAGAGACGAGGAAAGGGAGACCCAGAGAGGGTTAGTAACTCGTCCAAGGTCACACAGCCAGTGATTTCGAATGCATAGACGCTGGACTCTAAAACCCACAGTACACCCCGCCCGCAAAGGGTCTGGGGAGACCCGGGAACTCCTAGCTTGGTTGTGAGGGTGGGGTTTTGGGAGGGAAGGGGCCAGACTTCTCTTCCTCTCCAGCGGGGCCTCGGGCTAGAGAAATTCTTTCTCGGTCGGTGCAGGCAGAGACCTGGGGTCTCTGAAGACCCCTCCCAAAGGCCCCACCCTCATCTAGGCTCCAGACCAGAGGCTGCTGTGTGTCTGGGCTTGCTGGCGCGCACACCCCACTGCGGTGCGGCGGCAGGGAAAACGCCCCCACCTGCTAGGGTGGGAGGGGTGGAGGAGGGAGGAACGGAGCGGGGAAGATGGCGAGAGAACTTGCGGGAAACAGCTTGGTTTTTCTCAGTGCCAGCCTCAGACTGAACACCGCCCGGAGTAGACCACTCGCTCTAAACACAGCGCTTTGCTTTCCAAAGCGCGTTCCCATTTGGGAGCTCCTAGGAGCGCCGCGATCGCCAGGGAGGGGCGTGGGGAGACGCCGGGCAGGGATGAGTAATTCCACTTGACAGACTTGGAAACCTGAGCACGGCAGTTCTCAGACTTTGGGGCGTTACTGCAAATACGCAGATGTCCTGGCCACGTGGCCAGGGATGAGTCAGCAGCGGGTGTGGGGTGGGGCGCGGCGCATCTGGGTATTTACTCAGGCTCCCTCCTCCTCCTCAGTGCAGGTGGCCGGGCGCCTGCTAAAGGGAGAATGCCCCCCTCTTCCCGGCTCACCCCTAGCCCAGAGCCACGAAGCTGTCTGGGCAAATGAGTGCCTCCAGGGCATGTTGCTAGCATCTAGCTTCGGGTGGCTTTAAACTCATCTCACACTGAATTTAGTAAATTTAATGATGGAAAACATTAAACACCCTCATGACCTCCGTACTCACCTCTTTTTATGATGTGATGACCCTGGTCACTGCAGCTGCTCCGAAATCTGTGACCCTTCATCCTTATCCCGTCTGCAGCCCGTTTCGCCCTAACAGGAGAGCTTAGGTCCTCGGGATCCCCCCAAAAGCCACAACCCTTTACCACTAGCTTTAGGAGTATTGTTCTTTAGGCCTACACTAAATATGGGAGTTTAATAGTTTCAGGGTTTTTTTTTTTTTTCCCTACACAGTACGTTTAATGAAGTGCACAATTGTAGAGGGTTTGGAAAAAACGAATAAAACCCAAGAAATGAAAAACTCCATTTTCTTGTATTTCTCTCTGGTATGTTTTTCTTTTTAAGAGAGATTTTTTTCTAATAGGGCACGTGTGCGCTTGCTGGAGAGAGAGAGAGACAGAGAGACAGAGGGAGAAAGTGAGATGTCACACCTCCTTCCCCGGGGGGTATGGTCATGCCACAATCCCTTCTCCTCCATTCTCCTCTTGGGATCTTGGGCATGCATGTACACAATTGTCTGGCATGAGTTTAAGCTGCCAGGTCCAGGACTCACAGCGATCAACTACCTAGGAGTCTGGGATGTAACCATCACATCATCTGCTGGTCCCTCTGGTATGTTTTTCTAGCAGTGAAAATAATAACTGAAATTGGTATTATATGTTTCCTTTTTTTTTTTTTTTTTTTTTCTATAGGGCATGTGGGCTCGCCAGACGAACAGAGAGAGACAGAGAGATAGAAAGCGAGAAATCACCCCCCAGGGGGGATGGTCACGCTGCAATCCCCTCTCCTCCATTCTCCTC